GATTGCTTTGTATTTCACAGATAAGTGAGAATATTCGATATTTGTCTTTCTCTGCTTGGCTTATTTCACTTAGCATGTTCTCTAATTCCATCCATAACACAATTCACAATTGGAAAGATGTGGAATCAACCTAAATGCCCATCAACTGATGAGTGGATAAAGAAAATGTGGTATATATCTACCACGGAATAGTACTCAGCCAGAAAAAAGAATAAAATAATGTCTTTCACAGCAACTCAGCTTGAACTGGAAGCCATAATTCTAAATGAAGTATCTCAGGAACAGAAAAACAAATACTGCATGTAGTCACTTATAAGTGGGAGCTAAAGGATGTGCATACATGGTAATACAGAGTGTTATAATGGACTTTAGAGATTCAGAAGTGGGGAGGTTTGGAGGGGGCTCAGAGATAAAAAATTATCAGGTACAGTGTATACTATTTGGGTGATGGGTACACTAAAAGCCCTGTCTTTGACGCTATACAATTCATCCATGTATCAAAAAAACCACTTGTACCCCCTAAATCTATTGAAATTTTTTTAAAAACCACTTGTTCATATAGGGGAACTGTTTAATTAGTTAGCTTTTGCCACATAACAAAATATCCCAAAATGTAGTACTTTCAAGTAATAACATTTATTTGCTTATGATTTTGTGGGTTGGTAACTTTGGGCTGGGCTCATGGCTTATCTCTACTTCACATATTATCAATTGGGCTCACTCATACATTGCAGTAATATGGTAGTTGATGGCCTTAATCACTTTCCTAGTGGTTGGCTGACTATTTGTAGAAGCAATGAAGGTAACTGGCTCATTATGCAATAGGTGAGCCTAGGCTCATTTCCAATGTGGTACTGTAGTGGAAGGGCTCCTAAGTTCAATAAAAGAGGGCAAGTCCCGATGTTCAAGCACTTCTCAGCTTTCTGCTTGCATCCTGTTTGCTAATGGCTCATTGGCAAAGCATATCACATGCCTACAGGTAGACACAGGGGATACAGAAATAGACTCCACCTGTTCACGAGACAAGTTGCAAAGTAACATTCCGTACAAAGAGACATGTGTTTAGGAACAAGAAGAATTTTTGACCAGTTTTGCAATTTTCCACACTGTAGTTTTTCTTCCCTTCCAGTCCCCTTGTACTTTGACTCTGCTTTTAGGTTATGTCTACCCTCTACTGCCCAAAGTTAAAAGTTCTAGATGCTTTAGAATTCTGTTGATTGATGTAAACATCCTCATGAGATAATGCAGGTTACAGAAGAGAAATTTTATTCATTTTCTGAATGAGCAACGCAACCAATTTGAAACCCATTTGGATTATGTTTGCTGTCTCGTGTACAGTGGCCCTGAAACACAAAACTAGATTTTGTTTCTAAACCTGAGCATCAATAAGAGGGAGGAAATGATGTCTGAGCCTCAGGTAAAACATGTAGAGGATCTAGTCAGGCAAAGAGAAGGAGAAAAATATTTCAAGCAGATGGAAATATGACAGAAAACTAATTTCGTGAATTCACTTTTGTGTCACATGAGAATATAGAGACACTCAGTACCTAATACATGATGCTGTTTACTTATCTGGTCTGCCTTTGGACCCTAAGCTTTTTAATGGTAGAATTTCTGTAGTAGGTGCCAAATAAATATTTGTGTCATGAGTGAATGAGTGACTGGGTTAGTAAGTAAATGAGTGAATGAATGAATAATAAGAAAGAGCTGGGTGAAAGACACCAATACACAATAGAGAGCCACATGGGAACAAAGACAGAAATTGAGGAGAATGCTATATATAGAGAGGAAGAGACATAAAGCAGCAGAGGGACAAGTAGTAGGGGAAGACCAGGAGAGACAGGCAGAAGGGACTGGAGACTGTGAGAGATAAGCAGTAGTCAGGGGTTTGGCCGGTTAGCAATTGCACCAGAGACACTTAGCATTTCCTTTAAAATACTTATTAATCTTCCAACAGTTCAGACACAGGCCCTTCTGCACTAATAAACTGCTTGCCCACTTTTATTTTCAAACTTCAAAGTTTATTTTTGAAGGCTTGTTTTTCAAAAGAGAATTTTGAAGACCTTATGTTGGCATAAAATAATGACTCCGATTTTAGTTGTTTGTTTTGGATTATTAGAGGTATCCAATTTATCAGTTCTTACTGAAAATCCTTTTGCATTTTAAAAATCTGTCAGATTGTCTTAGTCTTTCTTCTTTGAAAGATGAAGAACTACCATGTGTTGTTGGGAAAAAACAGCGGCTATTTATATCATTCTGAGCCATTTGATTTGATTTCAATCAAACCCAATTTGGGGTTTTTGAAATCCTAATAGGAATGATGAACATAGGAACAATTAAAATCACAGTTCTTCCCCCATTCTCAATCTGGGCGATGTAGTTCTAGCTGAGTACAAGGGTAACTATTATGCCCAGGACTTCAACAGGGGCTGTAAAAGCAATTGACTCTGGCTAGATAAAGGCAATAGGCCAAGATACATTCCTATATAGAGTTATCAAAAGTTTGGTCCAAGGCATCAGAATGAACTGGGATGCTTGTTACAAATGTCTCTTCCGGACTTCTATCCTAGACCTGGGATCAATCCCTTCAGATGATTTCTGCGTCCGGGGAAGAGAGAGGCTCACTACCTTAATACCTTAGTGCATTCAACCTTGCCCTTACAGTATATTTGGCAGCATCTAGGGCTATTATTACTACTTTTTTTCTTCATTATAAATTGACAGCTTACTATTGTATATATTTATGGGGTACAAAGTAATGTTATGATTTGTGAATATAACATGAAATAATTAAATCAAGCTAATCAGCATATCCATCCCCTCAAATGCTTATTTTTTGTGGTGAGAACATTTGAAATTTACTCTTAGCAATTTAAAAATGTACAATACAGGCCGGCCGTGGTGGCTCACACCTGGGAGGCCGAGGTGGGCGGATCATTTGAGCTCAGGAGTTGGAGACCAGCCTGAGCAAGAGCGAGACCCGTCTCTACTAAAAAAATAGAAATAAATTAGCTGGACAACTAAAAAAATATATATATAGAATTAGCCAGGCATGGTGGCACATGCCTCTAGTACTTGTTGGGAGGCTAAGGCAGTAGGATCACCTGAGCCCGGGAGTTTGAGGTTGCTGTGAGCTAGGCTGACGCCATGGCACTCTAGCCTGGGCAACAGAGTGAGACTCTGGCTCAAAAAAAATAAAATAAAATAAAAATAAATAAAAATGTACAATACATTATTATTAACTACATTCACCACACTGTGCAACAATCTTAAAAAAACCTTATTTCTCCTGTCTGAGATGTTTGTACCCTTGGACCATCATCTCCCCATTTCTCCCACTCTCCATCCTCCATAACCACCATTCTACTCTCTGCTTCTCAAAATAAAACAAGTTTGATTGCTTTGTATTTCACAGATAAGTGAGAATATTCGATATTTGTCTTTCTCTGCTTGGCTTATTTCACTTAGCATGTTCTCTAATTCCATCCATGTTGTCACAAATGACAGAATTTCCTTGTTTTTTAAAGCTGGGTAGTATTCCATCGTGTTTATATACTATATTTTCTTTATCCATTCATCTGTTGATGGCCAATGAGGTTGATTTTATAACTTGGCTGTTGTGAACACTGCTGCAGAGAACATAGGAGTACAGCCAACTCTTTGAAAAACTGATTTCAAATCTTTTGGGTAAATACCCAGAAGTGGGATTGCTGGATCAGATGCTAATTCTATTTTTAGTTTTTAAGTTTTCCAGAATGGCTGTACTAATTCATATTCCCACCAATACTTCTTAAGTATAGTATCTAGTTGGGTAAAATAAGTGCTACCTCTATAGAAAGTCAAATAATAGTAGAAAGCAGCCTATGATTAACGCCAAATTCAGTAAGTGCTGGGGGAAGAAGGGCTCACCACAGGCTTGAATCAAGGAGGATTTCATGGAGAAAAGACAGGTACAAAGTTTAAATTAGGTTCCAAACTCCCATATTCTGCCATTTGAACAATCTGAATCAAATCCAAGGGTCTTAACAACATGTTTTATATATCTACATCCTTCAGAGTATCCAAGATGAAGGAGAGTGTTAATCAGAGAAGAGAACGAAGAGAAAGCATAAACAAAGTGAAAGAAAAGGTTGCCAACACTCAGAAACAGGCTCTGCAGGAGCAATTTGATGAATGGATTCTAGACCCCAGAGGAATGATCCCTATGGTAGTGGTAAGAAAGGAGGATGTATGTGAAGGGTAGGTAGGGTGGGTGATAAGAGGGCCATTGCTAGAATACTGAGTGGAATGCTGCAAGCCTCCCTTGAAATTTTCAGTGCTACTAAGGTAAGTCAATTCTTGACCTATCTGGTCCATGAGAGTTGATTCCTTCAATTTTGTCTTGAGCATTAAAAAAAATATCTAGGAAGATTTCTAAATTTTCACTCTGGCTGAGATTCCCAAACTTGTCACTACAAGCAGACACAGATTTCATTTGTTTGTTTATTTGTTGTATGTGTTTGTGTGGGTGAGTATATATGACTATTTCTGTAAGACCTAAGAAATTGTGTCTCTTAGTTCCAAGAACAACTGTATTCTAAGAGTTAGATATTTTCTCTCATGTATGTATGGATTTGAAAATACTTATTGGTTGGATATAATGCCAAACATTTTCAGTTTAAAGTGAATGATTAAAAATGGACCGATGAAGACAAGCTACAAACTGGGAGAAAATATTAGCAAAAGACTTTTCTGATAAAGGACTGTTATCTAAAATATACAAAGAACTCTTAAAACTCAGCAATAAGAAAACAAACAGCCCAACTAAAAGATGGCCAAAAGGCCTGAACAGACATTTCACCAAAGAAGATACGCAGGTGGCAAATAAACATATGAAAAGATGGCTTATGTCATTAGGGAATTGCAAATTAAAACAGCAGTGAGATACCACTATGTATCTATTAGAACAGTCAAAATCCAAAACACTGACAATACCAAATGCCAGCAAGGATGTGGAGCAGCAAGAACTCTTAATCATTGCTGTTAGGAATGCAAAATGAAAGAGTTTGGCAATTTCTTATAAAATTAAACATACTCTTAAAAGACAAATACTGAATTATTCCACTTATATGAGGTATCTAAAGTAGTCAAATTCATAGAAACAGGAAGTAGAATGGTTACCAAGGGCTAGAAGGAAGGGAGAGGGAGTTTTTGTTTAATGGGTACAGGATTTCAGATTTGCAAAACTTCTGAAGACCTGTTTCACAACAGTGTGAATATACTTACACATATATACATATACTTAAGGATAGTTAGGTCAGTAAATTTTATGTGTTTTTTACTGCACACACAAAAAACTAAACACATGCTTAACATACATTCCAGCAATCACTCTCCTTGGTATTTACCCAAATAAATTGAAAATTTATATACACACAAAAACATATACATGGATGTTTATGGCATCTTTACTCATACAATACCTAAAACTTGGAAGCAACCAAGATATCTTTCAGTAGATAAATGGATGAATAAACTGTGGTACAGCTATACAATGGAATATTATTCAGTGCTAAAAAAAATGAGCTATCAAGCCATGAAAAGACATGAAGGAAACTTAAATACATATAACTAAGTGAAAGAAGCACATCTGAAAAGGCTACATACTGTATGACTCAAACTATATGACATCAGGAAAAGGCAAAACTATGGAAACAGTACAAAGATCAGTGGTTGCCAAGAGCAAGAGGGGAGGGAGGAATGAATAGGCAGAGCACCCACCGAGCATTTTTAGGGCAGTGAAATTTTTCTGTATGAAACTATAATGGTGGATACATAGCATTATGTTATACATTTGTCAAAGCCCACAGAATATATAATATCAAGAGACCCTTAATATAAAACTATGAATTTTGAGTAATAATGATGTGTCAATGTAGGTTTATCAATTGTAACAAATGGGCCAGCATAGTGGCTCACTCCTGTAATCCTAGCAGTAGGATCTGGGAGGCCAAGGTGGGAGGATCGATTGAGGTCAGGAGTTCAAGACCAGCCTGAGCAAGAGCAAGACCTATCTCTACTAAAAAAAAATAGAAAAAAGTGGCCGGGTGCGGTGGCTCACGCCTGTAATCCTAGCACTTTGGGAGGCCGAGGC